CCACACAGTATTTACACAACTTGGTTTTGGCCTTCTTTCTGGTGTATACCTTGAAGCCTTGGTGTTGGATTTTGTAGTAGAAACCAATGACTTTTCCAGGAGTCTACACCATGTTTTGGCCATGAATTACTAGGGCAGTGAGTAATAATTGGTCTATGTATCAATGTTTTCACCCAAGATTCATACAACTTTACCCAAGATTTCCACATTTTCAAACTGAATCTTGGATGAAAAATGTGTAAATGTTGGGTAAACTTTGAATGACTGAAGGGTGAAAACTGATGAATAGGTCGCATAGTTAGGTGCATAGGCCTTGGTTTATGTGTCATAAAAAAAAACTAGAGCTAGAGCCTATAAACAGTGTAGGGCCATAGGCAATGTGGTTGTTTGGTACGTTGGAATTTTACTGTTATCAGATGAGGAGTTCCTGGCAGATGGGAGGCATTGAGCAAAATCAGGTGCAAATCTGAATAGAAACCAATCAGCTTCCAGGTTTTATTGCCAAAGCTTAATTGAACAAACTGAGGTTAGAAGCTGATTGGCTACCATGCACAGCTGCACCAGATTCTAAATGAACCAGCTTTAGTAAATCTCCTCCATTGTTTCGATGGCACCAATATGTTTTGACAAAGGAGCTGTGGGGCTCAAAAACACATAACCACATCCATCTGCTTCAGGTCCTCCTGGCGGTGACGTCACATCCAGTCCTGTGCTCCTGTGCACTCTGACTTGGTTTCCAAGACCTCCTGGTTCAGTGTATAGTGTCAGATCACCCTTCGGGCAGCCACCACTTTCCTTTACTCTGCACAGAGAAGGAGGATAGTGAAGTAGGTCACTTGGATGATGGAGATAAGCTTGTTCATGTCGCTTAAATATGAGTTGCCGATTGTCTGTTTAAATGAAGCTTCTTAACATTACGGCACATAGTCTGGCACCCTCTGGCTTATTCTTGATTATTCCAGAGATCACTTCAGTCTCATGAGGAGCAGCTGCTGGTGCGTGTAGAGTGCCATATGGACTTTTATGGACTGTTAAAAAGACTTTTTTTGGGGCAATTAATGAGTCGCTACAAGTGAGCCTTTAGTATTGTTTTGGCACACTGTACAGTAATTAATTTCTCACTGGCCGGGGGTTACTTACTGCCAAGATGTGCCATTTAACTTGTTTTTGAAGCAAATCCATGCATGTAATAAAAGTGAGTAAAACCATACCACTCCTGCTTCCTGAATGCTGCTCTGACTATATGAAATGGTCACCCCAAGTCTGCTGGAAGAGGAACACTAATGGGAGTGTCGATCACCAGGGATCTCTTCAGCTCTCACTGATTCTACCTGTTCACCTTCACATCACAATGGAAAACAGTGGTGATGTGGAAATTCAAAATCAAATATTTGATTTTGATTCATGGAAGCGCTTGACCAGTATTTGATTTTGATTCATGGAAGCGCTTGACCAGTATTTGATTTTGATTCATGGAAGCGCTTGACCAGTATTTGACCTTTATTCATGGAAGCACTTGACCAGTATTTGACTTTATTCATGGAAGCACTTGACCAGTATTTGATTTTTATTCATGGAAGCACTTGACCAGTATTTGATTTTTATTCATGGAAGCACTTGACCAGTATTTGACTTTTATTCATGGAAGCACTTGACCAGTATTTGATTTTGATTCATGGAAGCACTTGACCAGTATTTGACTTTTATTCATGGAAGCACTTTTCACCAGTATTTGATTTTGATTCATGGAAGCGTTTCACCAGTATTTGATTTTGATTCATGGAAGTGCTTGACCAGTATTTGATTTTGATTCATGGAAGCATTTTCACCAGTATTTGACTTTTATGTATATAAAAATGCAGCGCTATCTGGTATTAGTATATGTCAGGGCAGGGCTGTGGAATGGACAGGTAGGCCTAGTGGCAGGGTAACGCACTGACTGATGACAACCACCACCAAACAGACCGAAGTCCCTCAGGGCACGGAGTCTAAGTTCCAGGCTGCCCTTCACCAGGGCCTTGATGGTGGGGATGGACTTGACGCAGCCAGGAACCAGGTCGCGCCCCCCGAGACACCCCGGCTGCGGTAATGGCCGCCGCCAATGGTGTGTAGCTGGTAAGAATGACAATAGCGTAGTCAGGCAGGCCAGGTCGACAACAACGGGACAAAACGGTACAGAACAGTAGACAGAGAATCACAGGTCACGGGCCGGGTTCAGCAACGGAAGGTCAGATCGAAGGAAAATACAGAGAATGGTCTAGTCATAAGCCGAGTCAGATACCAGAAGAGTCACGAGAGTATACACAGAGCTGTAGCAACACAAAGACACAAGACACAAGTGCAAAAAAGCATGTGCGGATCACAGGCTTAAATGTACTCAGCCACACCCCTCTGGGGGATGGACCTCAGAGACCTGAAGGCATAAAAGACTCCCACAATGCTCTGCAGAAACCCAAGATGGATGCCAGTACATGAAGCCGTACAGTCTCTGGGAAAAGGTAGGACCTTGACACTATATCATAAATGGTGATATTAATAACAATAGGTCACAGTCCAGTAAAAAAGGTGCTCATTGATTCCCAGTGCAGATGGTAGAAATGCGCACTAACCAGTAGCTCTCTTTTCTGGTCTGATCACGGGTAAAAGCTGGAAAAAAGTGAAGATGAAGCGCCCTCGTGTGGTGAAGATGTGGTCCAGCAGGTCAGAGAAATTTTTGCCAAGATGTAGTTCCCCTCTCAGGAGCTGACACAGGAATCACTCTGGGGCTGTAAAATTGAAAGAGCTCCTCGCAGGAGACACAAGGAAAAACTCATAGTGTAGTAGGTAACTGACTTTATTAGAAAAGCAAGGGTGTATAGTAAAACCGCAATGGTGCCAGATATGGGTGAACAGACTGACCCTTTGAATACAAAGATGGCCGCCGGGCCTCCACGTGGCACCGGCGGCGTGGTGTCAACGGCGTCCTGGGCTCCACCTTAGGTGAGTGATTCCTGTGTCAGCTCCTGCAAAACGCTGCGGAAAATGCTTAGGTGTGAACATAGGAAAATACTGGAGGTGTGTTACTGGCCAGATCACCAAGTGAAAAACAGACTAAAAAAAGTATAGCCACACATCTAATAATTTATAAGCTGCAATATTTTACATTTTTGGTTTTGGGTTTAATACCACTTTAAGTCAAGAATCTGTCCCCAAATATAAGTATACAATTACTATTGCTAATATGTTCCTAGATTGTAAGCTCCCAGGAGCAGGGCCCTCCTATCCCTCTTGTATTGAACTGTATTGTTGTATTGTCTCCCTTTATATTGTAAAGCGCTGAGCAAACTGTTCGCGCAATAAATCCTGTATTATAATAATAATAATATATAAATCCTGTATAATAATAATAATAATAATAATATATAAATCCTGTATAATAATATATAAATCCTATATAATAATAATAATGATAATAATAATAATAATAATATATAAATCCTGTATAATAATAATAATAATAATAATAATAATAATAATATAAAAATCCTGTATAATAATAATAATATATAAATCCTGTATAATAATAATAATAATAATAAAAATCCTGTATAATAATAATAATGTATAAATCCTGTATAATAATAATATATAAATCCTGTATAATAATAATAATGATAATAATAAAGTTTTATTAAATTACAAAATGGATTTTTGCCCATTACACTGGATTTGGTAGTTTTTCAGTCTTTATGGGAACTCTAAAAGGCTGAATATTCTATAAACAGAAGAGAAAATAAAGACAAAATTAAAATTTTTACTGTTAGCAAGGCAACTTCTTCAGAAACATATTAATCAGAAAGGTCGCCAGGCTGAATTTTGCATAGTTTAAATACAGTATGGAATCATCAGCTAGGTAATTCCATTAGTAAGACCACAAAGTCATCCTAAACAAATATGGTATGTTGTTAGTCCAGGCTTACAGATGGCCTCCTCCAGAAAGTAGAATCCCATTAAACAAATGCACACCTGATTATGATTCAAAAAATAAAAAGACTGAAAGTAGTATTAAACCCAAAGGCATATGACCAATTATTACAGTAAATGTAGCTGCATTAGTTTTCTTTTTATAGGCTTTTTTAAACTTTATTTTCACCCAGTGATCTGGCCAGTATAACAAATGAAAAATGAGCAGACGCTTTGACTCCTGCGTTGGTCGATGGACTCCACAGTAACAGTAACCACACATAGGATGCCTGTAGGATGCACTCCTTGCTGCCCTCAATGGGCCAGGGAAATCTGCATAGAAAGAGACAAACAGGGGGCGCACGGGCCTAGTGCATTACCTAAAAAAAATTGGTTTATTGTATAAAAAGAGGTATATTCACAAAAGGATAAAAATCAAAGGCACATCAAATGAAATACAGCATGGTCCAATCTCCCTGGAAGGTGTCTTATAGGGGACTATAGACCAGGGGCGTCCCTAGGGTTGGTGTCATCCGTTGCGATAACACTTGGTGACACCCCCTCCGACGATCCCAGCAGAATGGATCGGATCTGCGGATTGGGGAGCATAATGGATCAGAGTCGGCATGCAACCTATACGGGGTGACACCGGACCCACTCCACGAAAAGGTAAGTTGTAAAGAAAGCCGACGATCCCCGCAGGATGGAGCGGGTCACCCTGTGTGGTAGGTGTCACCCCCCGCACCTGCCTTGGGACGCCACTGCTATAGGCTTCCGAATTTTTGATGAGTTTCGAGCCTATGCCTCTTCCTCAGAGCCAATTTTTATCCTACCACTTTTTATACAATAAATCAATTTTCTTAGGTAATGCAATGCACTAGGCCCATGCGCCCTCTGTTTGTTTCTTTGTATGCAGATCTGGCCAGTATGTCTGTTTTTTTTAACCTCCTTAAAGCGGAACTAAAACCCTCCTATCCTTTTCAGACAAGGAAGCTGCCATCTTGGCCTCTGTTTGATCTACAACCGCCGGGGTGCTGCAGATCTGATCAGTTATGACGCCAGCAGGGGCGGACTGACCATTTGGAAACTCGGGCACCGCCTGAGGGCCCGGGGTCAGTAGGGGGCCCCATGAGATGCCCCTGGTACCTTTTTCATAGGCTTTTTTGAGTTTGGGCAAGGACACGGGGCCCCATGATCCCCTATTGCCCGGGGGCCCCATGAGTTGTCAGTCCATCCCTGGACGCCAGTCATTTGACGGTTTTACAGTTTGGGTGAGAACACAAGCACATGCGATAATTGGCAATCCCGGCATGCCAAAAATGTAATTGTTTTTATAAACCATTAAATCGATGGGTTTAGTTCTGCTTTAACAGACCAGGCTGTCCAGCAAAAGTGGCAGTTAGAGGTTGAGAACAAACCATTTACCGCTGACGGGGGTGCTTACAATGATCAGCTATTTTTCATTTATGTGAAGTCTTTATCGCAGAAGGAAAAAAAAAAACTGTTGCTGTAACTGCTTATGGAGTGTTGGTTGTTAGTGTTAGAGAGTTCAGCTTTGATTTGTTAGTCACAGGGCTTTTTTGTAGCGGGAACGCGGGGGGAACGCAGTTCCAGCACCTCCAGCACTGGATGTATGTAATGGCAATGGGTGCTGGCGTCTGCTGGAGTGTCTGTTGATGCCAGCTGCTGGGGGCTCTATTGTTGCTGGAGGGGATCTATTTTTGCATGGCAGTCTTTGTTGCTGGGAAGGTCTATTGTTGCTGGTGGGGGCTCTATTGTTGCTGGAGGGGATCTATTTTTGCATGGCAGTCTATTGTTGCTGGGAAGGTCTATTGTTGCTGGTGGGGGTTCTATTGTTGCTGGAGGGGATCTATTTTTGCATGGCAGTCTATTGTTGCTGGGGAGGTCTATTGTTGCTGGAGGGGCTTCTATTGTTGCCAAAATGGATCTACTGCTTAGGAAGGGGTCTATTGTTGATGGCTGCTGGGGGATCTGTTGTTGCTGCCATGGGTCTATTGTTGCTATGTAACTATATACATATATAACATTACCCTCGCCCCAGACTGACAATGCTGCTGTCCCACGGTGCATCTATTGCTCCTTTACAGAGTGGACCACCAGGTACAATTTCTGGAATGCCCGTGGCGTTGCAATATGGTGGCGAGTCACGCAGCAATTTCACACTCGAGCGTGTTCTGACATGTTCTAACTTGCACTCACCTGGATATCAGACCAGTGGACTCGGTCTTTACAGAATAGAAGAAGAAATAACACGTGTACATTGCACTGTTGGAGGAAGATGAGTGAAAGGAATCTGGAGCTGCAGATTAGCATCAAATTTTGCGTGAAATTTGGCAAAAATTGTGTGAAAATTGGCAAAAGTGCGAGTGAAACTTTAGCTCTGTTACAACAGGCTCATGGTGAACATTCCATGAAGAAATCAAATGTTTTTTAAATGGCATAGGCAGTTCAACCACTTCCTGACCGGCCGTTGCATATAAACGGCAGGATGGTGGCAGTGCAGGGTCGAGTGGCCGTTTATGAACGGCCTCCCCGCACCCTGCTTGTGCACGCTCCCTGGGAGCGCGCACCACTGCGATCCGGTGCCCGCAGTGTCCTCTGGACACAGTGAAACACCGATCGTCGGACGGGACCTCTGTACGAGGTCCCGATCATGTGATCACTGATTGGCCAATCAGTGATCACATGCAAAGTAGTAAGCAAGATGTCACTTGTGACATCATTGCTTACTACCTGTGAAATCTGTGAATGATCACAGAGGTCACATGGTACAAGGCTATTCACAACAGCCTAGTACCATGTGACAAGCTGTGACCAATCACAGCTCACTCAGTACTTCTCAATGAGTGCAGGAATGCACACAGAGAGAAAGAGAAATGATTGCTTTTACATCCTATATGGGTGTAAAAGCAATCATTGTAAAAAAAAAAAAAAAAAAAAAAAAAATCTTCATCACCCCCCACAAGTAGTACAGTGTCACCATGGTGACACTGTACTGCTAGGGTGACAGTATGTAAAAATAAATAAATAAATAAAAAATAATATAAAAAAATAAAATAAAAATGTAAAAAGAAATGTTTAAAAATTATAATTTTTGGTTATAAACTAATTTGTTTTTTTTTTTACTAAAAAGATAACAGAATAAATTTTGGCAAAGATTTATGATGAAATATTATTTATTTGCAAAATTTTATTTAAAAAAAACACTTTTGTTCAAAATTTTTGGACTTTTTCATTTACATAGCAAAAAAAATAAAAAATCCCAGCAGTGAATAAATACCACCAAAATAAAGCTTTATCTGTCTCAAAAAAATGGTAAAAAATTAATTTGGGTACAGTGTTGCATGACTGCGCAATTGTCATTCAAAGTGTGATAGTGCTGAAAGCTGAAAATTGCCCTGGTCAGGAAGGGGGTAAAAGTGTCCGGTCTGGAAGTGGTTAAGGAGGGGCAGAAAGATGTCCACGATGACGCAAGAAGTGGGCTGCCAAAAACGCAAAGGACAGATGCAAATATGGACAGAGTGAGAACCCTCGCACGCTCCGATCGAAGATTGAGTGTGTGAATGATGGCAGAAGAATTGAACATGAACAGAGAAACAGTGCATCAGATTGTAATGGAGGATTTGGGAATCAGAAAGATTTCTGCAAAGATGGTGCCTCTGGTGAATCTTGACAGAAGATCATTGTCTTTAAATTTCATCTGAACATTTGAAGAATGCGGAGGTGTTTGATGTTTTTTTTTTACAGTCCATTCTGGGAATTTAATTGTCACACCTCATAAAGGAAAAAAAGCAAAAACAAAACAAAAACAAATCCATCCACCACATTTAATGACTACTGCAAAATATAACATTTTGGGTTTAATACTGCTATAAAGCACCAGATATGTTTTTTATGTGTCATTGTAACTCTTCCAGGTATTTATTACCTCCATCTGACATGTGAAATAGCAAAAATGTGGCATGTGCTGCTCTTAACCTCCCTGGCGGTATTCCCGAGTGTAGCTCGGGGTAAAGTTTCTGTACCAAAAGCGGTTAGCCCGATCTACACTCGGGCTTACCATGCAGCGTTGCTTAGGGAGTCCCTGCAGCACTTACCTTGTCCTTCGCTTCCGCGATGTGTCCCCTGCAGCGTCCCCGGCCATCTCCTCCGGCGGATGCCGGCATCCGGCTTCTGTGTTCCGATCCCTATGACGTTGAAAGTTTTAAAAAATGTCATTTTTTTTAAAACGAATATTACATAGTAAAACATTGTTGTCTCAAAGCATTTCACATACATTTTGTCCTGAGTGCTTTGTCCGGCGCCCTGCCTGCATTTTGACTGTTCTTTCTGCCTGGAAACTGAGAAATGTCCATGGCGTCCAAAAAGCGTCCCTTTAGGTCAAAAGCGGTTTTAGACCGGCTAGAGAACAGCGATAGTAAATCAGAACCACTTGCAGAATTGAGTGATAATGATTCGTGGGGGAAATTCGTCATCAGACACTGAAAACGATTCTGCGACTGAGCTCAGTGATGTGCGAACTTGGCGCTCTATTTCAAATTTCAGTGTTTTTGGTTTGATTATATTATTGAATTAAATTTTATTATTATATTATTTTTTATGATTATTTCTTAAATTATAATTTATGATTTCGTGTTTCAAGTTTTATCATATCCGGGATGTTTACTAGACTCTTGTTCGTACAGATTTTAGTGAGTTATTCCTAAAAATGACAGGCATACAATAAAAAAACGACATATTTCCATGCAAAATAATGGTACCGCTTTCAGCACCAAAAATCTGAAAATAATCATACCGCCAGGGAGGTTAAAAAGGCCATATTAAAGGGGTTTTCCACTTTTTTAATGAGCATGCAGGAGATGCAATCTGGATCAAGGAGTGAAGAACTAAAACAGAATCTGTACTGGGTCAAAGACAACTGGGTCATTTTAAAGTGAACTTGTCATTACTCACTGCTTTATTATTTACAGTTACATTCCCGCTATCCAGCTAACAGAGCGAAGCAAAACAGCTATGTGTAAGCTCACCCCAGAGTAACAGCCCTCAGTCCTGGTGTTTGGTACTCAAGCAACCAGTGCTGCATTGTGAGAATGAAAAGAAAGAGTTACATACCTAAAGATACCAAGTTTTTTTCACTTGGCTATGATGGGCCAAAAAAAGGTGCAGGAGGGGTGTGAATTTTATATTTAGAAGGTCACCAGGAATCCCACTGCTCCCCAAGATCCAATGGCTTTCTTCCACTTGTTGCCAGTTGCTGGAACTCATTCCCACTCTGCTCCAAAGATCCAACAGTCCCTTCCACTTAGTGCTGGTTGCAGAGGCCCATTCCCACTCTGTTCCCAAAATCCAACAGCTTCCTTCCACTTGGTACTAGTTGCAGAACCCCATTCCCACTCTGCACCCAACTTCCAACAGCCTCCTTCTGCTTGGTGCCAGCTGCTGGAGCCCATTCTCATTCTTCTCCCAAGATCCAATGGCTTTCTTCCACTTGGTGCCCATTGCTGGAACCCATTTCTACTCCAAAGATCCAACAGTTCCTTCCACTTAGTGCTGGTTGCAGGAGCCCATTCCCACTCTTCTCCAAATATCCTACAACTTCCTTCCACTTGGTGCTGGTTGCTGGTTGCTGGAGCCCATTCCCCCTCTGTTCCCAAGATCCAACAGCTTCCTTTGGCTTGGTGCCGGTTGCTGGAGCCCATTCCCACTCTACTCCAAAGATCCAACAGTTCCTTCCACTTAGTGCTGCTTGCAGGAACTCATTCCCACTCTTCTCCCAAGATCCAACACCTTCCTTCGGCTTGGTGCTGGTTGCTGGAGCCCATTCTTACTCTGCTCCCAAGATCCAGGAGATTCCTTCCGCTGGATTCTGGTTGCTGGAGCCCATTCCTGCTCTTTATAAACACAATGCAAAGACAAGAGGCCATACAGATAACCTTCTAATGTGTTTCATCAATGGTGATCTCTATGAATAAGCTTGAAAAGAAGAAATGCATTAGTGGTGTGTTGTCCAGTTGAGGGCGTTGTTCAACTAAATCAATTTTGTTAGCAGTAGTGATGTCAGGTATGTGTGGCCTGACATCACTATATGTTTTTATGAAGGGGGACATGCTGTTAACTGACCCATTAACTTTGCCCATAATGGGCAAATTACAAGTTGACTTTTTTTTTTTTTAAAGGGAGCTTTGGCCAAATCTTAAACTTTGTTTTTCAGATGTTATTTCTCTTACTTGAACTATACTTTGTGCTCTTT